TATATTATTATTATTTATTATTATTATTTATTATTATATTATTATTTATTTATTTATTTATTTATTTATTTATTTATTTATTTATTTATTTATTTATTTATTTATTTATTTATTTAGTGTACCGTCCTTAAATTCAACAAATTCACCAGACTACGAGAATATAATAACATCATTCCATCATTCGTTGCCATAGGAACGTTTTCATGCCACAGTCATAAACTTTAGTTATCCGTGAATTTGACTTACATCCAACACTTCGTATATAAAGTATGGGGTTTGCTCTTCTATATACTAGTATAGTCCTTAATAGGTGATTTTCCGTACAATTGCGAGATCTCGCGAGATGCATGAAAGACGCGCGTCGAACGTCTGCCGCAAAAATCGAACGATTTGATTTTAAACTAGAATTTCTTTATTTCGCAGCTTACATTGACCGGCCGATCTTCGACAGAGGAATATTGCTTCCGAATACCCTTACTTAATCGAAATTGCCTATCATCAAATGTGGACAGCACATTATTAAGCATGGAAATGTCCCCGATATACTTTCGCGTTTGTCGAATCCCACGCGATGTTTGACGCGACTACGACGCTATGACCTTTGTTTGTCCTGTTTTTTACGTTCGATTTCACGCATAACGCGTGATTCTCGCAGTGAACGGAAAATGGTCTATTCCCAATGATATTGTCAGTTCCGGTAAGATTGCTGTAACGAGATACAAATATCAATGTTCTACAAACAGTGACATCACCAATACGTGTTCCATGTAATGTTGAAACATAAAGTATACCGTGAATATGATTGTACGACGCATAACCATGACAACAAATAATAAAAATAACTTAAAAAACATCTCGGATGTCATTTAGAAATTTCACTCCTAAAAATATCGTCCGTGATGACGCTTATGACAGTGAGAACTCTCACGCGGATACCGCATAACATTCAATTATAAGACATGCGCACATGTCGTTAAACGAGTCAGCAGGAATTCCACAGTGCGAAATTATATACAAGTTTGTTTTTTTTTTCTCCGTATTTACGTTACCGTTACTGAAATATGCATAAAATTACCAAAATTAATAAATCAAATGTCATAATAACAATTATCCAACAAAACAGATTTCGGCTACCGTCGATTGCAAAACTGGCATCGACTGTATCTTGCGTCAATGTCGCCCTCTACCGATCGATAATCGCCATTTGACTTCATGATGACGATTACCAAATTCTCCCGCCATTGTTTTTGTCATTATTAACCAAGAGTTGTCATACTTGTCATTACAGTTGACTATATTGTTATACCTTTTTACCAAATTCTAGTAATTATTATTCTCGCTCGCCAAAGTATTCTTCTACTTCATCTTTGAAAGTACTTTGGCAAAATACATCGACGACTCGACAGAACTGTGCCTTAAGTTAGAAAACTACTCATAAATGAAAATACCCAGATTTTATTATTTCTGTAAATAATTGTGCTCAAGGATATTGACTTTAAAAAGTTGGGAGTTACCAGCCTAATTTTTTGTGCAAATTAGTATGGTTCAATTTTAGTGGATATAGGTCATTTTGTCAGTATTACAACGCTTTAACCATAGGTTCCTATGGCAGAGATATTATGCCATATCTCAAACTGTAGTCTGGTGACATAGGCTGAAAAAATATATGTATTGTAGATAATAGGATCTTTTTTTTTTGTCCCGAACTATTTAACAAATCTGGGTCTTTTTAACACCGTGTTTAATGGAGTTCAAAAAATAGCAGTTTTTGAAAAATATTATGACAATATTCTAAAAAACCGTCACCGTAACACACACCATAACAAAGTGTTATTTCATTGTACAATAAGACGTTAGCTCCACGATTGTACATAATAAACCAATTGCATGAATATTATCGTACTATTTAAGCCAACTTTCTCAAAAATTATGAGTAGGCCTCTACCTGAAAAGAGCTATGATTCGAATATTCGCTTCTGGACGTAAGAAAGCAGATCAATCAGCGTTTGATTTAAAGAACGAAGGTAACAGTCGTCTGCTGCTAAAAGTAGATCGATTGGTTCGCTTTAACGGGAAGGGTTCTCACGGTTTTCTTGTGGTAACTACTTGGTGCCGCAAATAGGCCAATTTTACGACGATTGTGATAAATAATTTATTTATAACAAAGGCATTTATTTATATCAATGTATACTAGTATGTTAAAGCTAAATAGTGGTGTGAGAGTGATTTGACTTGGCACTGTGGTCTTGCATATTAATTTCTTCAGAAGACTTAAGATCACAAAACGTTAATGTTACGAGTCTAACATCCACGATTAATGAAGATTTGAGGAACGGATGACGTCATTGCTATATGACCACGAAAAATGGCAAACCACACGAATCATATTTGACAGTTTTGCAGATGCTACGCTAACGCTCATTGGTCCTTGTCAATCACGCGCTCATTTATTTGAAGAATGTTACAGAGATCTTGATTGGTTACATGTTTTCAGAAATCTTTTATACTCATCTTTTCGTGTTTAATAATAAACTTAATACGTCTAAAATATTTTATTTATTTTTTTACATGAAACTAGAAAGTTTAATAAAATCGACTCTGTACATCATCACCTTGACATTCCAGTTAGCGTTCTCGTCCGCCAAAATTGTGTACTACACCGAAAGTCAACATTTTTTAGGAGCCATCCATTTGTCACGCCGAGGTAGCAGCAAACATTTTTGCAATAATTCGGATATATTCGGAGAAACTGACTCGGTCATTTTCGTCGACGTCCGCGTCCTTCATGATGGCGGACACCTCGTCTTCTGTATAGTAACCTTTTGTCTGTACCAACATTTTCTTGATCTCACCCGTCGTGACCGAACCAGAACCGTCCGAATCCAGTGCTCTGAATGAGTGGATAAGTTCGTCCATTGTCGGAGCTGTGTTCGGAAAAAAAGAAGAAAATTATAAATAGGAAGTAATTTCGTAAAACTGGTCGTTTTGATTTATTAATCATGGAAAGACAAAATGTATCGTTCTATTATTATATCGAAATCAATAGACTTTATTCACAAATGGCCGCTGAGTTCTCGCTGAGAACAATAGAGCCACGAGATTTTGTTTTCACAGAGGGTTCCATTCTTGACTGTCACCAAGCAACAGGCAGACTGG